AGAGAGAGAGAGAGAGAGAGAGAGAGAGAGAGAGAGGGAGAGAAAAAGAGAGATGGACAAGAGATTTAGTACGGATAACGTTTCACGATGAATGAATTCTATTCTACAGTCGTCCATAATGCATGACGGAACCGATTTGCATATGTATGGCGTAGCGGGCATAATAAAGGTGCCACATGATATCCTACACGTAATTGTTATTCAGGCAAGCTGTCAAGCGTAAATCAACCCGAATTCCGTTTCTATTTCCGTTTCCAACTGCGTGACATTTCGGATCCAGAGCACCAGCATTCGCCACGTCGAATGGACCAGACATGCGCTCTGCAAATTCTACGCAGGTTCGGCCTGCCTTAGCAGACATACAATGGCCGATATCTTGCGCTGTGTGGTTACGATGCGGACTATCCAAACTGTTCACATAGAGGAATTCGTGCCAGAAGACGAATTACACCCGCGCTCCACCCTATAAATTGTTACAAATCCCACTTGTTAACGGCGATTATTTGCGTCTGCGCCGATAATATAATACTACGTGCTTTGCAAACCTCAGATCTATAGCGACGCGCCCATACGTACTCACGGACTTACGTGTTTTCCGATCCGATGTATATCTATATATCTCTCTCTCTCGCTCTCTCTCTCTCTCTCTCTCTCTCTCTCTCTCTCTCTCTCTCTCTCTCTCGCTCTCTCTCTCTCGCTCGCTCTCTCTCTCTATATATATAGTGAAAATGTGGGTGCTCATATATATATCATATATATGGGCACCCACATTTTCGCTTGACTCGTACCGGAAGCTTTTACTGCAGCACTACGGAGAGCTGTTTGCGGGTAGACGCGATCTGGTCGTGGATAGTGACAGGCACGAGGGCTGTTAGTTTCCCAGAGCTTTTAACTTGTAAGTGCTCGCGACCCGCTATTTTATGAACGGAGAAAAAAGACCAACGTCGGAATTGATGGCTGGGGTCATGAATCGCGTGCTACGGCTACAAGGGTTTTGTAGATGTTACGAAAAGCAGATAATGCGTTTCACTCGGAAAGCAGAAATATATATATTTAGCTCGTCATTCATGAATTATTCATATAGTCAAAACATCGTGCTGTCTTATCAGTATACAAACCATCTAACACTCAATTCGCTACTATTTCAATTATATCTATATATTTCAATTGCAATATTTCGCAACAAGCTTCACTAAAACCAAATAATAAAATCAACATATTTAGTGATATAGCCGAGGAGTAAAATCACGCGAGGATACGCGCAGGTGTAACGTTAGTGTATGCGCCTATTCTGAAAGCGTCGGGTTTCTGCACCCGCACATAGAGAGAGAGAGCGAACATCTGTGTGGGGAATTGCATGTCCCGACACAGTCCGCGTATTCACCACACGCGCGCGCGCAAACTTTCTCGAAGGACGGGGTGGGGGGGGGAGAATCAATATGGCGCGTTACATATTCGGACAATTGACGGAGCACACACTATACATTTATAAAAGAAATTGCTTTCACATATTGAAATTACTCGCATGGATTTTCCAGCCATCGTTCGCTGCCTGAATTTCGCGTCTATCACATCTGCTTGTTAGTTCCACGCGCCCGTCACTCTGTAGCAACGTGTTCGCGCGTTTCATGCGGAACTCCGGACATTTAGGCGGACAGCCGGTCAGCCGAGTGGTAAACGAGTATTGTTATCGGCACGCGACAGAAAACGCGCAGACGATAACACACTTGAGTGTTCACTGGATGGGCCAGCCTACTACGGTTTAAGACGACGCACGCATGGTGGTTAGCATTAGCGGGTGGAGTAGGAGCGGATGAGCTGAGAGGGTTCGGGATGGGGAAGACTTTAGCGTAGCGTTGGTGGAATCTTTAGTGTGGGCTTATTGAAGCTGGCAGTGAAGCGTTTGAGGGAGTTGGAAAAGTGGGGTCACGGACCTAGAACCAGCTAATAAATTAGATTGGTTGAGTTTATAGGGTAGGAATGGTGGAGCTGAGAGGGTATAGATGGGGGGGGGGCTTATACGGTAGGCGAGTGACGCTGGTAGCACAAAGCTGGTCGAACCCACATGGTTGGATTGGTGGGGCCGATAGGGTACGGATGGTAAATGTTGATTAAAATTATAGGGTAGAGTGGCGCCAAAATGGCAAGGTTTGGAAAGTCGTCATGGTATGCTTAATAGAGCGTTTAGGGTAGCTTGATGGAGTTGTCACGGCAGGGTCTGTGGTGCTAACAGGGTAGGATAGAGGTGTTGCTAGTGTAGGGTGTGGAGAGCGGACAGGGTATAGAGTTGGTCGGAATGACAGGGCAGAGTTTAAAGAGCTGTAACGATACATATCTTAACGCGCGCACACGCGTGTTAGTTCGTGCGCGCGTGCGTACGTTACGGTGTGTGCGTGCGCATATCATAGCGCGTGCATACCGCATGTACACCGCAGAATCCCAGTTAGTTGTAATTAGATTCCTATACCTATAAGTCCTCACGCTGTGAATCACTAGAAGGGGCTAGAAACGTCTTCACGATTGCAGTTTAACCGCAAATGTTACTGCTGTCGCAAAGTAATCTATTCGCCGTCGTCTCTATATATATACGACAACGCGCCACGACAAGCCGAAACATAAAGACATCAGCGCGCACGAGAATCGCGTTATTTTTCACCGAGTGCCGCTGCACAAAAACGCACTCATGTAACGAGCATTTTATTACGCCGTTATTCCCATTGTCTAGTCCCGACGCAGCTCTTTAGATGCGAGCAGGCGGAGTGCACAGAGGAGAGCCGATATACGGCGCGTGTACGCACTCGCGTGGAACGAGATACGCGTGGATGATGAATGAAGCCTGCACGTTACATCGTGGGGGCTTCGGCTGTAGATGTATGCATTATTCATGTCTCATCCGGCGATCTGTTGTGTTTCGACAAAGTAGCTTTAAATAATTTATCTAAGGTGACTCGTGGAATTGTCCCATGCATATACGTGCGCAGCTAGGCGCGCGTAGGTTACATACATAGCAACGCTCGACATTTTTTCTGCATAGGTTACATTTCGATTGTTTGAATTTCCGTCGAACCCGGCTCTAGTGCCCCAGTGAATAGCTAATCAGCGGGTTTGCCGATGTAATACATGCTAATTAGATATGACTTCCCCCTAAATTAATTAGTCTACTGGGCATGTCAGTCGCGAGCACCGAAACGACGCGTTGCGACGCAAGCTCTTGATTGTTGCAAAATCAACAGCTCTATATCCGTTATATAAACACGGTATTAATTCCGTAACGTCGTAGTAATTAGTAAACAGTGCTGATTGAATGAGAGCTGGTGGCTGTGAGAATATTGTTTACGGACGCCAAACACGCGATTGACTGGATGATTGATCGTAGCGCTGATATTTAGTCCGTACTATCCTGTACAAGCTCTGAGCTATACGCAGTGTCCGGGCATGTTCCGCTAAAATTTAAATAGCGTTCATGTTTTCGAACGGTAATCGCCTTGTTCGCTGTCTGCGTGCATACGTGCGTACGTGCGTGCGTGCGTGCGTGCGTGCGTGCGTCTGTGTGCGTGATGCATTCTCGTACTCTCTTGCATGCAACCAAATTTATTGCACGAAGACGTTTCAGAAGCACATTCACATGCCTATAGATCTACTGCTATCGATAGCCACCGACGACGATATAAAGATGGCGCTCGTAAATAACCCACCCAAAAGCCTCGCTATATCTATCACTAGCAGCTCCATGGACGCTACGCCGATATAGACACGGCGCACCCTCTCTCTCTCTCTCTCTCTCTCTCTCTCTCTCTCTCTCTCTCTCTCTCTCTCT